AACTCTATCCTATGGCCTTAGGTGACTACATACGCGTGTTGTGTGTATGTGCTGTATGATAACCCATTAGATAAGCACAAAAAATGTATCTCAAAATCTCATAACAAATCACCGGAGCTAAAATACTCAAAGCATCAATTCATAAACCATGATAATTCATATCGTTTCATAAAATGTAAATTCAATAAATCGTAAATAAATCATAAAACATACAATCATGAAATCATGCTTTTCGTGAATGCAACCCTAATATTTTATAAAACATGCAAATTAAGAAGACACTCACAAATATTCTGTTGGCGGGGAGTCGCTCGAACTAGAAAGGACGGGGCCACTTCCAACCGACACACCTAAATACAAATAAAGAGCATTTAATAAAATTCTACTAAAACATTAGAATTTGGAAAAACAGATAGCGGATTCGGATTTGGCACGTTGAAAAACCTAAGGAGGGACCTTGGGTTCCCCTACGTGCCACCACTGAGCGGCGGCCCGAAATGCCACCTGCCACCACACATGCCGCCACGAAGCAGTGGCCTGGAAGGACACGCACCACCGCACTCGTAGCACGTGCTAATATGGTAGCTGAAAAATTCGCCTACACCGTCATGGATGGTGGCTGAGCACAGTACCTCCGACGGAGGCATGTATGCTCCACACACCGACTATGGCAATCCTCCACGGGCACCCATGCGTGGCCTACGCTTCAACTAAGGAATCTGGGAATTGGGTCTAGGTCGTGTCGGATCTGGGCTTTAGGTTCCTGGGTCGGGTCTGATCCGGATCGAATCTAGGCTTTGGGTTACTGGGTTGGATCTAGGCTAGGGTTAATGGGCCAAACATTTGGGTTGCATGGCCCAAATGTTTGGGTTGGGTTATCGGTTGTAGGTAGAGTTTAACTCGATTTCAGGCCGTGGGTCAACCAGATTCCACAAAGAAGAAAGCCGGAGCTTGGAAAGCTTCGATCATCCCCAAGACTCAACTGAAACTAGTCATTCAATATACCAAATTGAAGTCCAAAGAACAAGGAGTTGAAATATACCTTTGGTTTCCTCGACCGTGGCCGGAGTTGGCCGGAAAATGGCTTGGAAGTTCAAGTTCTCATCGAAAAACTAGGGAAGTCTCCCCGAGCTGATTTCATGTTTAAACTTTCACCAAAATCATTTTTATTCAACCATTGAATACTCTAGACCACGTGGGAAGAACATCAAAGGGTGGTTCGTGACTTATCTTTGTCGAGGACGGCAATAACTCATCGGGAAAGGTTTGCATAGTAAAAGCACTTGCTGTGCAGTGGAAAAGATTGAGGAGAAGGGGGTGATCTCGTCTTGTGCTCGCTGAAGTGGGATGGTGGTTAAGGTCCAAATGTATGTGGGTGTGAGTGTGTGAGGGTGTGCTCGGCAATGGAGAAGGAAAGAGTTGCAAAGATGGGGGAGAGACAAGGAGAGAAAGAGAGAGTTCTAAAGAGTCATTGGGAAGAGAAATGAGAGAAAAAAGAGGGAAAAGAAAGAGAGGGCAGGGAGACAACAAAATAGGGGTGGGCCCCACTGGTACACCAACCAAAGTGAGAAAATTTGAAATGAGAAAATATCTCGCGGGACATAAAATTACCAAGATGCCCTACTGTTCCAAATTTTGTAAAATTCACGTTTTAGCTTCAAATTCAATTCCACTTGCCCCCATGCGTTCGTAGCGACGCATGCTATAAGGATATGCCAAAGAAACGAATCTCAAGTGACACAACAAGGCGGTTAACAAAAGTCAACGTTTTTCACCTCGGATGGCATTTTCGTAAATTCACGATTTAAAATTATAAAAACCCTAAAATTGGGGACTAGTTATCACAGTTATAATTGAAATTGTTTATTTTTTTAATTAAAAATTTTGCTACATTGAAGAGTTTCAAACAATAAATCTAAATTACTCTTACCTATAAACATAGACCTGCCCACACCACTAGTTTTCTTAATCATAGTTTAAATATTTATCATCTCTAAAAATAATAATAATAATAAGAGAACATTTGTAGTTCACAATGAAATTTTTGAAGTGCTAAATTAGCACTCATTCATTATTTCAACCAAGTTTTAATATTAATAAAAGTAGTAGATGGCACTTTATTGCGTAGAGGTGGGTTAGAAAAACCAAAAATCGAAAAAAAAGGATTGAAAACCGAACTGTAATCGAAAAAAATTGAACCAAAAGTACAAAACCGAATCGAACCCCTTTAGCCACTAATTATTCAATATGCCAATCCCTTTGTTCACACCACCACCTCCCATGGATCAGGAAATGCGTTTGCTCCGACTCAGGTGTTCGCACCGCCACCTCCCATGAATTTGTCCTCGGTGGCTTTGTTGCCTCCAGTGACCTTTTTCTTGGTGGGTCATCTTTCACTAGCTTTCTTTGGTTTGTGGTTGTTGTTTTGATCTACATGGTGCTTTGTGGAGGTTGTTGGAGTTGTCTTTTCCATCATTTTTGTGGATTTGGTTGGCTGTTTGGAATTCTAATTCTCGGCAATGCATTGCTTCTACTGCAGCAGTTCAAGAAGGATTGTAGTGTCTTTGTTTGGTTTTTTCTGTTCTGGGCTCAAAACTTTGTTTTGGGGTTCCATATCTTTTTTTCCTGTTTTTTTTTTTTTTTTTTTTTTTTTTTGTAACTAGATGTCTTTTCTTTGTAATTTGGTGTGTTGTTAGTAATAAATTTACCTTTTATAAAAGAAAACGTATTATTCATGATAATTACTGTTACTTATCCATGAATACTAGTTTCAAGTAACTTTTCATACCATGGTTGGTTATAAATATATATGAATCACACATTCATTCATACAATAATTGAATGTGGTGCAAAAGGGAAGTTAATAATGGTAAAGGCAATCAATGGTTCAAATTTTTGAGTGAGATAGTAATGCATCACGTCATGTTAACAGTTTAGAATTCATGTAATAATACATGTTATAACTATTACTAATATATATACATAAATTTGTCCTTGATCATTGTCATATTATAACTATTCGACATGGCTTGCTAGTGCTGCTATTATGGTGGACTCTTGAAGTCTATAAAGCATGGTGGAGTGCTGGCTTAGGCATTAGTGAGAGCTTGACCCACCTAATTCATCGACATTTTCTTTCTTTTCTTTTTCCTCCATCTTTTTAATTTCTCTTTGCCTTTCCGAGACATTTACGAGTGACAAAAAGGTAAACATGAACGACTTTTGCCTCGTCGTGTACAAGGGGAGATGCAAAGTTTGAGTTTTGTTGACCAGCTGCGTTTTTGGTAAAAATTAACGACTTTTGACTCGTGCTTGGTCTACCTCGAAGAATTGTGTGTAACATTCATGATGATCTGTAGCGGTTTTGGTTTTTTTGGTTGGGTTCGTGGCAATGGCCATGCATGTGCACCACTAGTTCTGATGCATGTTTCTTTTTGTTGTGACCTGAATTAGTGAATCAATTTCCAAACCTCTGTCATCAATTTCAAAACTTAAGCCATCAATTTCAATTCCCGTTTCCCATCCTCCACATCCATGGTTTCATTCCTTACTTCTCCTACCCTTCCCAAGTGGCTCCGGGTTTCCTCGACCCCATATATTTGCAGATCTTCAGTCACTCTCCTCCATCGCGTTTTGACGTGATTCTCTCAGGAAGTGCATACCTCTCTAAGAGGATTTTTGTCAAACTAACCACTTCACTTAATAAGGATATTGACATATTTTTCACAGAATGATCAAAATGTTTACGGTGGACAAACTCAAGGACCACTTTCATCAATTTTCATTATCAGAGAACAAAGTGAAGAGTTATGCCAATTTCATGAAACATTTTAGTGAAAAAGCCTAGAACAAAATAAACCTAGGATCCCCCATAGCCACTAATTATTCAATATGCCAATCCCTTTGTTCACACCACCACCTCCCATGGATCAAGAAATGCGTTTTGCTTCGACTCAGGTGTTCACACCGCCATCTCCCATGAATTTATCTTGGGTGGCTTCGTTGCCTCTGGTGACCTTGTTGTTGGTGGGTCATCTTTCACTGGCTTTCTTTGGTTTGTGGTTGTTGTTTTGATCTACATGTTGCTTTGCGGAGGTTGTTGGAGTCGTCTTTTCCATCATTTTTGAGGATTTGGTTGGTTGTTTGGAATTCTGTTTCTCAGCAATGCTTTGCTTCTGCAGTAGCAGTTCAAGCAGGATTGTATGGTCTTTGTTTGGTTTTCTGTTCTGGGCTCAAAACTTTGTTTTGGGGGTCCATATCTTTTTTTCCTGCTTTTTTTTTTTTGGTAATAACTAGACGTCTTTTCTTCGTAATTTGGTGTACTGTTAGTAATAAATTTACCTTTTATAAAGCAAAACGTATTATTCATGATAATTACTGTTACTTATCCATGAATACTAGTTTCAAATAACTTTTTCATACCTTTGTTGGTTATAAATATATGTGAATCACACATTCATTCATACAATAATTGAATGTGGTGCAAAAGGGAAGTTAATAATGGTAAAGGTAATCAATGGTTCAAATTTTTGAGTGAGATAGTAATGCGTTACATCGTATTAACAGTTTAGAATTCATGTAATAATCGTGTTATAACTATTAATAATATTTATACATAAATTTGTCATTGATAAATGTCATATTATAGCTATTTGACATGGCTTGATAGTGCTGCTATTATAATGCTTACTACATAATGATGTCAGTGGAGGACATCCATGCATGCTGGAACTGCAGGAATATGGAATCGTGAATTTTAATTCAAGTGGTAATTAGCAAGTCAATGGCGGTCCACTCTAACTTTGACATTTAAGTCGTTGTCTTACGCTAATTACTAAAATGAGTTTAATTAGGTCTGTCTTATCAGTTCAAACAACCCAAAAAATTCCAAACCCAAAAGAAAAATCAAACCAATACTTGACAAATCAAACCAATACTTGTGTAGTATTTTGCAGACAGAGACAGATTTGGAAAAGATATGTATGGCCGAGAGAAAGCAATTCCTGTCAAATATCGTTGATCAAGTTTTCCAAGCTAGAAACTACGTAGCACGTACGCTTATTTCCTGGTTGCACATTTAGATGTCCCTTTTACAAGTCAATACTAATTAAGTCATCACCTCGATTACAAAATCATAATATTTGGGCAACGACTCATACTCTAAACATCATACTAGTAATCACTTTCAACCTCATGCCATACGCTATACGTATTATATGTCACATAATTGGTATTAAAATGGGAAGCCCACGATTTTACCGGACCTAGAATCGTGGTAAGTGACTAAATCAAAACAGAAAACAAACTTGTCCCTCAAGTATAGGAGGGTTATTAGCACGACCTGAAATAAAACCCTAAAAACAAGGAACCCTATCAACTAGGAAATCCCAACAACTTCAACAATAAATCATTGGCAACCAGCAGGTGCAAATCCAACCTTTCCACCAGCAACGTCATACACTACCTGCAACCTCTTCTGTTGAACGTTCCCAATAATCCCAACACTACTATCATCTTTGTTTCCGGCAAACGCCAAGCAAAACTGCGAAGCACTCTGCTGGAATAATATTCCTGTTGCGTCCACGTCTACCGTAACCCCATTGCCAAACACAAACCCTATCGTTGGAAAGGTTATCGTTTTGAATCCACTGAAGTCGTAACACGTGTCCAGCAGGGAAGAAATCGACTTAGCAGTTGGGTATCTCTTCATCACTTCTCGAAATGCGTCCCGCAGCGCTGTGTACGCTGTGGCTGGGAGGCGAGTGATGACCGTCCCCGAGTCGATGATTGTCCCCGAAATCGAAAATACTGAAGCCGAAATTGGCAGTTGACTCCCACCGATGTTGATGCCGACCAGTCCGAGGCTGTAATACGACGCGCCTTGAGATAATGTGGTGAGCGGCGTGAACTTGACGGCGTTACCTGAACTTCTGTTGTCGGAGTTACCTAAACTGAGGTAACCAGTGGAGCTTGAAGTGGAAGGGAGGCAGTAGGAGAAGAATCTCTTGTACTTCTGAGCGGTTTGTTCAACAAGGGAGATCTTGCTTCGACCGAGACCGAGCAAACCGGCGATGCCCCTAAATAAGCCTTGGTTATTCTGGCCGCAGCCGAAGACGAAACCAGTAAAAACATCTGTTGAAGTCAAAGTTAACTTCTCGCTGGCAAAGAAGCCGATTGTGAAGGAGCGGTCTCCATACTGTTGGCCGTATACACAGGTGGAGGCGGAACAACCGCTAGCGACACCGGAGGCTGCAAGTTGAGAACACGCGGGGGAGTTGCAGGAGATGTTGGAGTAAGAGGTAGAGAGAGAAGGGTCGAAGATGGGATCTTTCTGTTTGTAACAAGATACAGAACATGGTCGGCACTGTGTCCAAGTGAGACTGCTGCCGGTGTCGAATACAAGCGAGAGTTGCTTCTGGGGCGAGCCCAAGCCGACACTGACGATGTAGTTTCCGGAACCAAGTACGCTGGCAGACTGGGCGGGAATCACGGTGGCGTCTGATTGTGCAAGTGGGTCGGGGATTCTGTAATTACGGTTTGAGTCGCTGAAATGGGAGTGGATTGAGTTGACTCGGGCTTCGTCTTGCTTGAGGATTTGTATGTGATATTCATCTTGATCGGAAGGGTTAGTGTTTGATTTGACTTGGTGGACTTGGTTGCATGGGCCGTATTTGTGGACCACCTTCAGTACGGATGCGTCATGACCTGAATTGAGAAATGTATAGGTTTGTCATTACATATAATTTTTTTTAACAAACGATATTATCTACATACTTATTTGGTCCCAATTACTTTTATGAAGTACAATATATATATGGTAACACGAGTTGTTTTTACACATGCTTTTATGGAGCCCATTCGTAATGTATTTTAATTATCTGAACTGTTTATCTTTTATGTCTCCCCTCAAAGATCTTGTCGGCCAAAAATGACCCAGATCTAAAATCATATGACCGTTGGATTAACGATTTAGGTTTTTTTTTTGTTTTTTTTTGTAAAACCGTATTCGTCAATTTTTTTCACTAAAAGATAACTGTTTCGTTAAAATACATGACGGAATGGGTACAAAATTAAAAATAGAAACATATTATACAAATTTTACCCATAAATATAAACATACCAAAATGTAACACATTTATGACACTAAATAGATTTATTTGAAAAATTAAACTTAAATATGCTGACATGTAAATATTTCATTACTAAAATACTGACATGGATAAAAATAAAAATAAAAACTTGATCAAAAAATAAAATAAAATAAGATTTCAATCGATGGAATAGAAAAATGAGGGATTAAAACCTAATTTTTCTATTAAAATATTTCCATGCACTTGGCACTCATTCAACACGATGCATGCAATGATCCATATATAAAGCAAGTAGAATATGCTTCATTGAGATTGAAAAGACAACATATGCGTGCAGGGGTAGAGGAGTTAGCTAGAGAGAGATATGGGATCAACCATTGGTGGAGGGTCTGCAGGTGTTTGCTGGTAGAAGAGAGATGACTTCAACTGTGTAAGTACGTGAAAGGAGGTTGGTTTTTGTATCTCTTACTGCCAAAGAACAGAGAATTAGGCATAGAAATGCTGATAAACCAATGGAAAATCTAAGGGAGGAGGAGGAGCTAGAAATGGGAGTTGCCATGATAGCAGATTAGCAAGTCTTCTTGCTATTTCCTCTAGATTATGTTGCTCCTGTAAGCATACGATCTCAACCTTATATGCTAATTGGAAATTTGGAAGACATGCAGGGATGGCGCCTGTGTTATCGGGTTTAATTATTTTTCTGTTGAAAAGTACATAGCATCAATTGGTAATTACCCACCACCATTCAACTAGTCAAAGTCCATGGAGACCATATATACACCAACGTTCTCAACACGTTCAAGTCCACTATAATACTTCGTTGCATTCCTCAAAGGAATATTAGAGAATATTACTCGAGTTCATCCGATTGTGATTAAGAAATCTCGTTAAACAAGTGTTATAATTGAAATTGTTTATTTTTTAATTAAATTTTTTGTTACATTGATGAGTTTCAAACAATAAATCTAAATTACTCCTACCTATCAACCTTGGCCTGCCCACACCATTAGTTTTCTTAATCATATTTTAAATATGTATCATCTCTACCAAAAAAAATATAATAATAAGAGAATATTTGTAGTGTACAATAAAATTTTTGAAGTGCTAAATTAGCACTCGTTCATCATTTCAACCAATTTTTAATATTAATAGAAGTCGTAGATGGTGCTTTACTGCGTAAGGGTGGGTTGGAAAAACTAAAAACCAAAAAAAATGGACTGAAAACTGACCCATAACCGAAAAAAACCAAACCGAAAAAAATTAAACCGAAAGTACAAAACTGAATCGAACCGAATAAATTATAAATTAGTATTTTTTTATTTAAATTAAATTATATGTTAACATCTTCTAAGCCCAATTCCAAACATTAGTTAGTTTCAGCACAATCTACGGAAGCCCAACTTCAAGCCGAAAACATATCAATATTATAATTGTCAATTCCCTAAAAGGAAACCCTAACCATATCACCCACATGCTCTGACTCCTATTGGAAGAAATTTTTCGTATATCGATATAGACGATGTGTATATCACGTGTCACTATACAAATGATAAGATAAATGTGTTAAAAAGTTAATAACTTAAAAAGTAAAATTTCCTACTATTTATATAAAAACACGTGGTATACCCCGTGTACCGGTCACAATGAAAAATTTCTCGCCTATTGGACCTATTCCTTTTCTCTCCCGTTATGCAAATTCTTAGTCAACGCCTTCTGTGTAGTATATTAGGTGCGGCGGCAATGGAAGAAATTTGGGTAATTGGGCTCCAATCTATTAAACTACAGAAATATAGTGAGAAGAAGAAGAGATTCAAGCAATTTAGAGAGAGAAGTAGAAACCAAACACTTCCAGTATATTACTTTTCTTACCTTCTAAGCAATCCCACATACATCAGTATTTATACCCTTTTCAATATTCTAAACAAACTACCTAACTAACTTTCTAACTAACTCTCTAATCTGCATACAAGTGGCAGTATCTCAGCCACACAATATATGTCTATCATCCTCCCTCAAGCTCATGTTTGGATGATCCTAACATGAGATTGTTACAATGAAAAAGGAACAATGAAGAACTGAGGCCTTTGGTCAAGATATCAGCAAACTGCTCCTTGGAGGACACAAACTGCACCACAAGCTTGTTCTGAGAAACCCGCTCTCGAACAAAATGCACATCAATTTCAATGTGTTTGGTCCGTTGATGTTGGACAGGATTGAAAGACAAGGCTATAGCAGAAAGGTTGTCACAGTATAAAACAGGAGGAGCGGACATCGGAAAATGCAGAAAAGCAAGGATTTGTTGAATCCAATCAAGTTCTGCTGCAGTGGAGGAACAGCAGCACTCCCCTCCTTCTGCTCCACATTTCCTCTTATGTCAACTTTGCAATTGTGGTGGTCATTCTGCGCCTTTCTGTCCATCCAATTCTTCTGCGAAATCCCGATGTCAGATTTGTGGCAGGTTTAATCACAGTACATGGTTCTGTTTTTACAATGACAAGGGTCCCAACTATATTGGTGCTGGCAATGGTTCTTATCCACAACCAGGGCATCCATATTCTCAGCAGGCTTCTTATTCACAGCAAAGGTATTCATCACAGTTTCCTGCTCCACAACAAATTCAGTCTCAGGCACCAATGCAGGCTTTTCATACTATGGTGCCACAACCCTCTCCTCCAGCAGCATCTTCATCTCCTTCCCAAGTTTGGATCACTGATTCCGGGGCAACGAATCATATGACTGCTGATCTTTCCAATCTGTCTCTAGCTTCACCCTATCCCACTAATGAAGTCATACAAACTGCCAATGGTGAAGGTTTGCCTGTATCTCACATTGGTAGTACTGTTATAAAACCATCTCTCCATCCTATAAAATTGAATTCTGTGTTATATGTTCCCAAATTAACACAGAATACCATATTAAACTACAGAAATATAGTGAGAAGAAGAAGAGATTCAAGCAATTTAGAGAGAGAAGTAGAAACCAAACACTTCCAGTATATTACTTTTCTTACCTTCTAAGCAATCCCACATACATCAGTATTTATACCCTTTTCAATATTCTAAACAAACTACCTAACTAACTTTCTAACTAACTCTCTAATCTGCATACAAGTGGCAGTATCTCAGCCACACAATATATGTCTATCACAATCAAGTCTGTTGATCCTGGAGAGGGCAAGCTCAGGACAAACTGGGAAGGTCTATACATGGTCATTAGAGTAAGAGGCAAAAGAACATACAACCTTACGCAGATAGATGGAACTCCAATCCTTAAGAGGTTGAATATCGCCAAACTCCGATGATATTATTAAGAACCTCAATGTCGTTCGTCTACCCGTAGATATGGAGAAACAACTCCAAAGCTTGCCTAAATCAAGGCACATTTGCCAAAGATGAACCATAAGGTAGACAGACATTGTTTCATCTTTCTTTAGAACTACACTAATGATTTGATTTAGGTCTGCTGAAATTATGGTCGAGCGAATTATGGCTTGAGCGTACTCCACATTTTGTAGTCTGCTTGAATCAACAGTAACCGGTCGACGGTTCTATAATGGCCAGAGATAATAGGAGATTGAATTGACTGCCCAATTTCGGTTGTCGTTGTGGCAGATAAGTATATCTTTGGTAGGCACTGAGGCTGGCATTACTAAAGCACTCGTTGGAATACCAGATGGAATGATTATAGCGGAATGAGGTCTAGTCATTATCACCTCATTTAGATTCGGAGTTGTGGCATGCTGCTGTTACCATTCCACTACCGCGCGGACTATATGTTTAGGAATTTGAACGAATCGCTCGCCGTCATTTTCCGGCATCTTTCTCTTCGTCTCCTCTCACCACTTCCAGTGGTTGCTGTTATTGCTGTTGTGATCGCAGCATTGTTGGAGGTGGTTGTAACAACGATGTGGTGGTTATGACAATGGTGGTGTGAGGTTAGTGGTTGTAGTGGTAGGTGGTGTTCGTCACCTTGATCTCCAAAGAAAAAAAATATGTAGAATGATAAATTATGTCATTTAAAAAAAATTAATGAAGGGTATTATAGGAATTAAAACTATTCATTAAAGATTTAGTTCCGTTTTTTACAAAATTATCTTTTAAAAGCAATCTACATGTTACTTTTAAAAACAATCAACAAACTGTTTTTAAAAGCTATTGTCTAGAAGTCATTCTTTTAAAATTAATTATGATATTTTATTTTTATCTAACATTTTTTATTTCTTAACTTTAAAGTGAAACAGTTTTTTATATAAAAATAATAATAATACCAAAAGGGCGCCTAAAACACTTATTCTTTAGACATTTGTATGTATTACCCACATTGTTTACGTGTACTACAATTATACCCATAAAGGATCATCAATTCATAATGAGTAATGTTATGGAAACCAAATTTTTTAAATCAAATTGCAAATCAAATGATGTGTCACAATAAGAAACAAGTATATTAATCGACACTTAATTAACAATCCAATCATCTACAATCATGTCATTTAGTTTGCAAATTTAATTTAAAAAATTTGGTCTCTCTAGCATTACTCATTCATAATTGTTCATTGAATCGATCAGGAGCATCCAGCAGGGGCAAATCCCACCTTTCACCTAGCAACGTCATACACCATATGCAACCTCTTCTGCTAAACATTCCCAATAATCCCAATGTCTCTATCATCCCTGTTTCCTACAAAAGCCAAGCAAAACTGCGAAGCACTCTGTTGAAAAAATATGCCGGCAACGTCCACGTCCACCGTAACCCCGCCGCCAAACACAAATCCTATCTTTGGATACGACACCGTTTGTGTTAAGAATCCCACATCGGTGGGGATAAAGTCCCACAATGGGTTTAAATATGATTACCCAGCTCTGATACCATGTTGGATTTTTGGATCGCCCGGCCTGCCCCATTCTAACGACACCGATATTATCCCCAACTTTGCCATCTGCCCAATCCGTCAGGTGTGGGGTTTTACCACAAAAGGCCTTGGTATTAGTTAGAGTTGGGTAATCAAATTTAAACCCATTGTGGGACTTTATCCCTATGCCACTGATGTGGGATTCTTAACACTAATGTGAAAATTAACTCGACACACAAATTAAACCCTATTAAACATGTAATTGTAGTATTAAGCAAGTAGGGATCGTTCTAAACCGGAGATTAACTAGGGCTGCTAATCAATGCAAATAAGACTAAAAAACACTAAACTAGACTCTATAAACTCAAAACTGACTTAAATAACTTAAAACAACAACAAACAACTAAATAGACTCAAACTAGACACTAGGAATGACTTTGGACAAAAATTGATTTTAGCTTGACTCAAAACACTTAAAAACACAAACTAAGACAAATTCTAACTAATTTGACACACTAAAGTAAAGGGGATTGGGTTTTGGACGAATTTTAAGTAAAACAAGTAAATTAAGGACTTAAACAAAGTTGAACGAATTTGGTGAATTAAATGGATAATGGGCTAGCTAGAGGGTCATTCTCCACACATGACACACTTGGCATACAAATCAATCTCCAGTAGCTTTTTCGATAAACCATGAATGACAATGCCCCAGATTAACCGTGCCATCACTAATTAACCCTCAGATTTTCCTTAAGTTATTGAATTGGATGGGATACCCATCATCAACCCAAATCATTCTTCAATAGTCCC